GCTAAAAAAAAGCCACTAACACCATCATGCTTCCTTGCTATAGCTACAACCACTAGTTGAAGTTGGTGTGCAAAGCAACGTACATAAAAAGCTATGTCATTCTCTCGTAATATCAAGGTTTTCAAATCATTGAATTCCCCTCGTATGTTGCTAGCCTCATCATAACCTTGTTATCTTTTTTATATATATATATATATATATATATATATATATATATATATATATAACACAAATCTAATTAAATTAAATTGAAATAACAAAAAAGTAAATAATAAATTATCTGACTAAAACTCAACTTATTACTTATAAGTAATTCAATTATGGCGTTTTTGAGTGTCAAAGAGGATGTATCATTACGTGCACAACTCTAATGAATCTTTTCTTCACAAAGTCACGACTATCGACATATCATAAAACAATAACTATTTGTTTCTATTTCAAGACATCCCTAGATTCATCAACCAATAAAGCGATCTTGACTAATATCTTGACGAATACTCAAAAGTATTTTTTGTACAAAACATTGCACAAGTTCTTTTTGAATTTTAGGGCAAATAAGTTTATTTTTAAGAGCATTTTCTAAAGTATTGTTGAAAATATCTTCACTTGTCTCTCAAATGGCTTTTAACACATTAATGTAAAACCCTTTATTTTTCGAGTTAACCGACTCATCATTACCATGAAACGGTAAGCCATTTTTCAATAAAAACCTAACAACAATAATAGAAACCGGTAATCACACTTTATATTTATTGTCCTTCGCTTCACTTTGCCTCCTCAAGGCTACATTAATAATTTGTTATTTTCTCAATAATAAATCATACTTTTCTCTTACTTTGTTGTGAATACTACCAACACTACCCATATGAATCTGAAGTGCATTTTTTTTCCACGTATCAAAACCTTAGGAAACAAATAAATTTATCCTTCATTTTTGTTCCATGAGGTCTCCAGACACATAACAATATAAAAATATGTTTTTTTTTATTCTTTACACTATATTCCAACCAATCAAAATCGCTAAACCATGAAGGAACAAAGCTTCTTAATCTATCATTACAAAGCCAAGTTTTTTTTATGTCGCGACATGGAATAAAGACTATTAAAATAAATTAGATGTTGATAGTGATCTTTGGCATATGTGCTAAATACCGGTGAGAGTTCAAACCACATTTTCTTTGATTTTGGGCTGTCTAAATGTGTGGAGCAACTTTGAAAAACAGTGAGGCATAAACGTTACCATTGTTCACAACGTAGACTATATGTACAAGCTGATTTACAACCAAAAGCTGGATCAATTGTCTAAACCGGTCGTGGAAGCTGCAGTAGAAATAGTTATTTGAAGTTCTGGAGAATGAGGAATAACTCCTTTTTTAAAAAGATAAAATGAGTCGCTATTTTATGTTTTTTAAACTGTGTTAACATATCTTTCAACAAATTTCTGGCTGCATTTCCCTGGTGGAGCTGCTCTTAAATGTAATAAACTAATCTAAATTCCAATGGTATCAGGGAATTGTGTAATTTTCATTAATTGAGTTGAATAACAATACATGTTTAAATAGAAAAGTCAAACAACTAGGCTGAAAACTAGGAAGCGATAAGTGATAAAGATAAACAAAATAGATGATAATTACATTATCCGATACTCCCCCTCAAGATGGAGCGTGTAGGTTCTTAACGCCCATCTTGCCAAGCAGAAATTGAAGTTGATTTGTACCAAGACCTTTTGTCAACAAGTCAGCAACTTGCATTTTGTTGTCAATCTTCATTAACACGACTTCTCGAGAAGCAACTCTCTCACGAACAAAAAAACAATCCATTTCAACATGTTTTGTTCGTTCATGAAACACTGGATTGTTAGCTATATGACGTGCCGCCTGATTATCGCAAAACAACGTGGTTGGCGAGTCAATGACAACTTGCAAGTCTTTTAAGAGCCATCTAACCCATAAGACTTCACTTACTGTGGAGGCCATGGCTCGATATTCAGCTTCAGCGGAAGAACGCGACACAACTGATTGTTTCTTTGTTTTCCAAGAAATCGGGGCACCTCCAAGCATAAGCAAGTAACCTGTTCTGGAACGTCTCGTGTATGGGCATCCGAGCCATTCAGAATCGCAGAAAGTTGTCAACACTGGTTCTCTAGTTCGTGGCAAAAGTATTCCTTGCCCCGGTATTCCCTTTAGATATCTTAAGACTCGAATCATGGCTTGCATGTGACTATGTCGTGGATTAGATACAAATTGACTCAACACATTAACTGCATAGGTAACATCAGGACGAGTAGCTTGGAGATAAAGGAGCCGACCTACAAGTCTGCGATATTGAGTAGCATCAACTTGAGCTTCTTCTTCTCGTCGGTCTAGCTTTAAGTTTTGTTCAATGGGAAAGGAACTTGGTTTACACCCCAACATTCCACTGTCTTTGAGAATATCCAAAACATACTTCCTTTGACTCAAAACCAAACCATCTGAAATTTTTGCCACTTCTATACCAAGGAAGTACTTTAAAAGTCCAAGGTCTTTGATATTGAAGGCTTTGTCGAGTTGCATTTTTGTTTGTTGAATTCGGTCTAAATTGTTTTCAGTTATAATGATGTCATCCACATAAATCAGAATGGCAATGTAACTGTCGTCATGATCTTGTAAAAATAGTGAGTGATCGGCTTTAGATTGACGAAAATTTATGCTCAAAAGAAACTTAGTAAACTTGTGGTACCAATTTCGAGAGGCTTGCTTTAGCCCGTAAAGAGATTTCTGTAGACGACAGACACGAGTCTCATTTTCTTTGGAAAAACCTTGAGGAATTTTCATGTACACTTCCTCATCCAAGTCTCCATGCAGAAAGGCATTGTTGACGTCGAGTTGGTGTATGAACCAATTTTTCTTGGCAGCAACTGATAGAAGAGTGCGCACGGTAACTAGCTTTGCAACTGGTGCAAAGGTGTCATGATAGTCAATGCCTTCCAGTTGAGTGAACCCCTTTGCTACAAGTCGAGCCTTGTATCGTTTTATCTCGCCATTTGGTTTATACTTGATCTTATAAACCCATTTTGAGTCAATTGCCCGTTTGCCCTTTGGTAGGTCAGTAAGAGTCCACGTTCCAATTTTTTCAAGGGCTCGAATTTCTTGTTGCATGGCTTTTTGCCAACGTTCATCCTGAAAAGCTTGGTTAAAAGATCGTGGCTCATCATTTAAAGTGATGGCCGTTAGGTAAGCTTTATGATTTTTGGAAAAACTTTCATATGAAACAAAATTAGAGATAGGGTGTACCGTTGAGGCTGCTCGATTGGAGTCGGGCTGCTGGTGGTTGATCGAATGGGGAAGTTTGACAACAAAGTCCTTGAATTTCTGTGGCTGTGATTTCATTCTGGTGCTACCTGAATCAACAATCCAATCATCTTCATTACCCCTTTTACCTGTCATATTAGCAACGCGTTCTGTTACATTGTTGCCGTTGGTGCTAGAAAAGTGCTTTACGAACATTTGGTATTGCTTATTCGTCAACTCAGGTATCGGGCTCGACTCCGACTCGATACATGCAGCTCTCGGTTTTCCCTTTTCTTTCTTTCCGGGCCAGCATTCTGGGTATCCCACTAACTTGAAACACCCTTCTTTCTTGTGACCCTTCTTTTCACAGAATGTGCAAAACTCGTTTTCTCTACCTTCTTTGCTGTCTTTAGCAGCCCTTGAAGAGTTTCTTTCTTTGTTCACGTTAGAGTTGCTATCTCTCTTTTGAAAAGCCTTGAACGCAGCGGACTCGGGTTGAGCTCTTTTGTCGTTTGAAATTGATCTTTGCCTCTCGTCTTCCGCCACAAGATGATAGGCGGTACCCAAGGTGGGTGTGGGTTTGGTTGCCAGAATTTGGGTCTTGATGACATTGAAATCGGCATCGAGACCCATGAGAAATTGATACAATCGCTCTTTTTCTTGAAACTCGTCCATCCTCTTCCCGATATCGCAAGAGCAGTTGTCGCACGAACAGCGAGGAAGAGGTTGAATAGACGAATTCTCGTCCCACAACGATCGAAGGTTTGTGTAGTATATTGATACGGAAGCCCCGTCTTGTCGAGCAACCGCAATTTTCTGCTTCAGTTCGTATGCTCTGGGAGAGCTTTCTTTGCCAAATCTTTCGAGTAAATCTGCCCATATTTGCGATGCAGTGCTCGCGTACTTCACGCTGTTGCGGATGTTCTTCTCCATTGCAGTGGTAAGCCACCCTTTAATCATCGCATCACATCGCATCCAATACAGGTAGTTCGGAGATCCCTTTTCTGGTTTCTTGATAGTCCCGTCAATGAACTCGATCTTGTTTTTGGCTAGAAGAAAATTTTCCATCTCTTGTGACCAGTCGAGATAATTGATGTCTGTGAGAACATCATTCACGTGGAGTTGCTTCGGGAAGTCCGAGGGATGAAGGTAATAAGGAGAATTGTGATCGATTGCTGTACCGGAATTCTCCCCTGTACCGGAACCGGTTTTGGGTTGATCTCCTGCCATTCTTCAAGGTTTGATAATGGAAAGGGATCTGGTTTGAGATTTCGAGACCTGCTCTGATACCATCTAAATTCCAATGGTACCAGGGAATTGTGTAATTTTCATTAATTGAGTTGAATAACAATACATGCTTAAATAGAAAAGTCAAACAACTAGGCTGAAAACTAGGAAACGATAAGTGATAAAGATAAACAAAATAGACGATAATTACATTATCCAATAAATAATCGCTAGGCATGTTTTGTTTTTGTTTTACTAACCCCTGGGTAGCTTTATTTTCTTTCTTAAATTTTTAATCAAGTCATTTTCCAAAAAAAAAAAAAAAAAGATGACCTTACCAAATCCAAAGTTGTATACTAGCAAATAAAAGATAAAATATTAATGTAAAATAGCCTGGAGGAAGAATATTCATTTCCAAGTTGTGAACAGCATCTCAATTCCTACCATAACTCGTTGACAAAGTCAGATCCACCCCTCCTATAATATAGATCATAACCATACTATAAGTTGACATTCTTTCCCATTGCATACCAAAAAGAAACTCAGTTGCGAAGAGAAAAAAGAAAGATGGGGTGGGCATGGAAGGAAGAACACTTGGATATAATCCTAGTCCCATCTGGGTTCTTGATCATGTGCGTCTATCATCTCTTTCTTCTCTATAGATATCTCAAGCATCCTGAAACCACAGCTATCGGATACGAGAATCATAACAAAAAGGCATGGGTTGAAAAAATGCTTCTGGTAATACTTCAACCACTTGTATTTCATAACAAAATTGTCTTCTTTCTATATTTTCTTTAAAACTTTTCTTGAAATGATGCAGATTGACACCAAAGATAGAGGGTTTGTAGTATCTGTTCTTAATAGCCACTTATCTGCTTCAACTTCCTTGTGTTCCATTTCTCTACTTCTATGTTCTCTTATCGGAGCTTTACTGGGAAACTCATCTAATAACTTTCTTACAAGCACTTTTATCTTTGGTGACACAAGTAAATCCACCAGCTCTATCAAATACATGGGCATTTTATCATTCTTCCTACTCGCATTTGCTTGTTTTGTACAAACTACAAGGCATTTTGTGCATGCTAGTTTCCTCATAAGCATGCCAACAGGTTCTGTTCCTGTTCTTTGCATCCAAAAGTCGGTGATAAGAGGAAACAATTTTTGGACAGTTGGATTGCGTGCACTCTACTTTGCAATCACTTTGCTCCTATGGATTTTTGGTCCAATTCCTATGTGTGTTGGTTCTGTAGCTACAGTCATAATCTTGCATTTTCTAGATGTCAATAAAGCACCCATGATTGAGTATGGATCACACAAGGGTTCAAACAGTGATCACCTGCGGAAGATTGGACATGAAATAGCTTCTGTGGTTAGGCCTTTTGAACACAACGGAAGGCCATAGATCTGGATATGCACGAAAACCCCATGAAATCTAGTTATTTCGAAGCATAAAGATCTATGTTCTTGCTTATTTGTTCTTTTTTTTTTTTTTTTTTGTTGATTCTAACAGGATTGTTATCATCAAAACCAGCTTAACTGGTTGGGTATTGTAATTAAGTTTATAGATAAACAATCAATAGTGAGAATATCTACAACTATGTTATGTTTCGGATACTAGACAAGAGCAGCTGGTTATTTTCTTTCTGAACCTATCTTTTATGTTTCCTTGATTGACTTATTCTTTTGCTTTTCCTTTTATATTTTCAAATCTATCTTTCATATTTCGTAGATCCAATTCTTTTACAAATTATTAGTCTGAGTAATGTCCAAATATATAATAAAGTAAGGTTTTATGTATTATATACATATTAAATTTAATCTGACGTCGTTTAAGCAAAATATTAATACACTTCAATCACTGTTTGAATTAGGAACCAAAACAATGGCGATTTCAAATTTTTAACCAAAGAAACACAAGTTGACTAAAAGAATGTACGTTGTAGAAATCATTAGTCAATATTTATTAAAGAAATGTTAAACACAACTTGGAAATATAGTATTCGAGTTATTCAAGTTAGCATTCAAATCATTATTGTATTTTAATTCCTAATTTATGTACGCCATAGTTTCATAGCAACTATATTTCCACTTATCAATTCGATGCTTCTATTTATAATAGAATTGTTTTTACATTTTTGCTCTTAATTGAAATTTACGAAAATAAGCATTTAGTCTAAAATTCTGAATTTTAAAAGGTACAACCCCTTAAAACATTATATACAACAAGTTTATGCATTGAATCTTATTTGCGCAACATAAGTCATAAGGTCAAGGGCTTAGAGTGGGTCATTTGATTCAAAATTTTCTAAAAGCCTACATAGAATGTGTTTGACGAGATGAAGTCTGTTGAATCCGATATCTTGACAAATATATGAGGAATCTGGCAAGTCTCCCCTATATAAGGTGTCAATATGTTGAGCACTTGAACTTTATCACCTTCATCTCCACACTCTTTCACCGCCTTCCTTCATCTATATTCGTCCCTTTAAGAGACACCCTAAACATCTCCTAAAAATAGTTGTTATCATATGGTTATATCTACTTAATCAAGAAGAAATCGGAAACCTTTGAAAGGTTCAAAGAGTTTAAACATGAAGAAAAGAATCAAATGCAGGAAGATAAAGATGCTCTGATATGACAAAGGTGAAGAATATCTTAGTATCAAGTTCCACGACTATCTCAAGGAATGAGAAATTATTTCACAATTGACTCCTTGTAGGACACCATAACTTAATGGTGTGGCTGAGAGGCATAGTCACACATTGTTAGACATGGTTCGTTACATGATTAGTCGAAATTCTCTTTCCATTTCTTTTTGGGGGGTATGCCTTAGAGACAGCCGCCCATATCCTTGGTTGTCACTACCAAGAAGTTTTCCAAAAAACCTCATGAGATGTGGACAGGGAAAGTTCCCTCGTTAGCATATATTATGGTTCACGGTTGTGAAGCTTTCGTTAGACAAAAGACTCATGACAACCTACATCATAGAAGTGAAAGATGTATTTTTCATGGGTTACCCTCAAAAGTATTTTGGATATTTGTTCTACAGACCTAGTAAAAACATGGCCTTTGTAGCACGAAGAGGAGTCTTTCGTGAAAGAGAGCTCATATGCAAAGAGTAAAGTGGGAGTACAATTAACCTTGAAGAGATTCAAGAGTCAACCAATGAATGAACCATAGAAGACATTAGCGGTCAACTAGAGGATGAGACTCCTGTTGAACTCATTGATAAATCATTACCTCTTCGCTGATCTGGTTGAGTTAGCATGTTACATGAGTTCTATTGTTTCCAAATAACTACATAGGGTGACACATTTGTCAGTGATTATACACTGATAAATTTGGATGAGCCAGCTAACTACAAGGAGGAAATGGTTGCGAAAAGCTTTACTCAAACCCTAGGGATTGACTATGCTTGCTATAGCTGCCTTTCATGATTATGAAATATGGTAGATGAATGTAAAAACGAATTTCCTTAATAGGAAGTTGGCTGAAATGTTTTCATTAGTCATCCAGAGAGTTTTGTATATGAAAAGTTTCCTAGTAGAGCATGTATGCTTAAGAAATACATTTATGGATTGAAACAAGCATCTTGTAGCTGGAGTCTTTGCTTCCATGAGAAAGTCAAAGAATTTGGTTTCTCTAGGAGTGAAGATGAGTCTCGTGTTTATGTCAAGGCTAGTATGAGTATAATAACCTTTATAGTATTGTAGGTTGATGACATACTCCTTATAGGGAACGACCTTCTAACTTTGCAAGAAGTAAAGTATTGGCTTGGAAAGTGTTTTACTATGAAGAATCTACGAGAGGTGGCCTATATTCCTGGGATAAGAATGTTAAGGGATAGAATGAAAAGACTAACTGGTCATAGTCAAAATACATACTTGGATAAGGTACTGAAACGTTTTAGTATGGAGAATTCCAAGAAAGGAGAGCTACATATTCAGAGTAATGCCAAATTAAGTATGACTTAAAGCCCTAGTAAAGATAAAGAGATAGCATAATGAGTTGATTTCCATATGCTTCAACTGTAGGATCGATTATGTACGTTATGAAATGTACTCACCCTGAGGTGTCATTTTCTTTTAGCATTGTCATTCGCTTCCAGGGAAATCATGGCAGAGCTTATTGTATAGAAATAAAGAATATTCTCAAGTATATGCGAAGGAGAGAGGATCTGATTCTAGTCCTTCGTGGCAATGATACTATAACATCCCAATTTTCAAAACCAAAAATTTCATTGTTGATATAACAATTTAGAAAACATTTATAAGAAAACATCATCGAGTCACATTACTTCATAAAACCATAATCAAATGTTTTAAAACCATATCATAAAAATAGTAATAATATCAGAGTACAATCCCAAGAATCTCATAATGCAGAAATCATGTGTGTGTGATGCGTTACTACCGTGTCGGCTCCTTCCACTTCGAAGAAGAGGTATCTGAAAACAAAACTGAAAAATGTAAGCACAAAGCTTAGTGAGTTCCGCCATCATACCACATACTATACATAACACATACTGCATACATAACTAGGTACTAACTACCCTTTCGGTCCTGTCGACCGCTACTTTGCCTAGCATATCTGGGTGCTGGCCTCCCCTTCGACCCTGTCGACCGGTAGCTTGCCTAACATATAAGGGTGTTGTACCCCTTCACTCCTTTCGACTGGTACTGGGGACTAGTTCACCCCTTACTCTACCACATAACATCCTAGTGCATAAATATACAAGTCATATACTCCCTAACTTATATGGGGGCTGTCATACCCCTTTGGACCTATCGACTTGTACTTGGGTCTATCCTACCCTTTCTATCACATACCACATAACATCATAGCATACTGGCACATAAACATAATAGATAACAATATACCAGATAATTATCACAAAGACAGTTACCCATACTATAACTCTTACTAGTGGGTCAACCTTGGTGCCTTCGACCAACTTCTACTGGAAGGTAACTCACCTCAATGCCGTGAAGTGTCTGAACTGTCCTTGATGCCGGGATCAACACCTCTCAAGTCCTACACATAACAAACTCCTTTATTATCATTTCATGCACTTGACCCCTTTCAAGGGTTAGCTCAGGTCAAAGTCAAAGGTAAGGTCAACACCCTGGTCAAAGTCAACATCTGGTTGACTCAACTCCCCAAGTTGATCCATAAATTCACCGAGTTTGATAATCCTTAGAATGCTAAAAGCTTCAACCGTACTTACCGAGTCTTTCAAGAACTCATCGAGTTCTCCTTCGTACAAAAATCGGGACCTTCTAATACTGACTCGCCAAGTTCATCCTTAAACCTAGCGAGTCCAATTTCTTGTAAATTGGCACGTCTAGTCCTGGACTCGCCGAGTTCCCAATGAACTCATCGAATTCCCTATGAACTCGTTGAGCCAACCGTAATTTGCAGGGTCGCTAGAGCTAGCACTGCTACTGGTGCTATTGTTGCTGTCAGTCGCGGGCAGTTGGCCTTTTTATGGTCGTTCTGATTGCAATGGAAGCAAATCTGTCACACCCCCAGACCAGAATGACGAAAACGTCCGGAGGCGGGTGACTTCATTGTGTAGTATCATAACAATTGCATATAATTGAAACATAGCAAATCCAAACAACTTACATAAATAAGACAAGCTTACATTGTTTTACATCGTGTTTATGTTTTCAAGTGTACACAAAAGAAACCTCGGTAAGCAAATTTCCCAAAATACAGCAAAATAAGCTTGAGTCTGCAATCCATAACCTGCTTATTGATTTCTTGAGAATACAAATCGTTTAAAAAGTGTCAACATAAAATATGTTGGTGAGTTCATAAGCATTTGAGTATAAAAACTTTGATGATAGTTTAAAAATCCAGAAAATCCAATATTTTCTTATCAAATGGTTGTAATTCTTGTTTCAAATCGAGTATAGTTGCATGTGTGTCTTAATTCATTGTTTTCAAAAATCGTACGAATCGTTTTTCCAGAAAATCCTATATTTTCTAATGTATAAAATAGTAATTTTGGTAATAACATAACATGGGTGCGAAAAAGTCTCATTGAGGTAGTCAGAATAGTTGATTTTTAATCGAAGATGAAATCTGTATAATAACATTTTTGATATATTCTAGTGAGTCGTTATAACCATACTAATATAATGGAGTGTCTGTTATGACATTCTTCAGACGTCGGTTTTGTTCAAGACATTTTTCACCCTAGACTGGTCGGTGTAGCTGTAGCGAACATCGAAGGTGCCGGGTGTCAACCCCGTATAGATCTATACACAAATTCCAACTCTCCCTCCAGGAGACTCTAGTCATAACTCTTCAGGACTTAAGGTGTACAATATTGTATATAATATATGTACTGTGAAGATTTCGTCTGACTAGAATACTAATAGTTTCACGCAAAGC